GGGCAAATTAAATAAAGCCAGGGGCAGGGGGAAGGAAGCTGCTACCTGACCCACGGTGGGACGGGGGACCAGGAGGCTTCCCGGGCTGATCTGGAGGCCAAGAGGCAGCGCCAAGCCCCGGGGGCTCTCAGGGCACCGGCTGCCCCCCTTCCATCACAGAGCAGTTAATGCCAGCCCCTGGGCCACACTGGAAGAGGTCGATTCACTCCAGACCAGGAACCTGCAGGCACTTCGGAGAGAGCCTTTGGGGAATCCCTGGTTTGGCGAGGCGGAGCTGCAGGAGCTGGGGAGCTCGCAGGAGAGCAGGGGGGATGCTGGCACCCACTGCTGACCACCTCACCCAGCACCATGCTGGCTGGGGTCTCTCATCCCTGGCATCACTTGGTCCCCAGAAGCTCGAGGTCCTCGGAGCTGAGGAACCTGCAGGCACTTCGGAGAGAGCCTTTGGGGAATCCCTGGTTTGGCGAGGCGGAGCTGCAGGAGCTGGGGAGCTCGCAGGAGAGCAGGGGGGATGCTGGCACCCACTGCTGACCACCTCACCCAGCACCATGCTGGCTGGGGTCTCTCATCCCTGGCATCACTTGGTCCCCAGAAGCTCGAGGTCCTCGGAGCTGGTGCAGCCATAGGGCCCAGCCATGCTGGGGCTAGAGGTGGTCCCCGCTGGGGCTGGGGGTGGTCCCAGCTCACTGGTCCAGTGAAGTGCACGGGGTGGAAGGAGAAGCAGCCGGACCACAGGCGGAGACTGTCCCTTGTGCATAAGGGACAGGGCCGTGGTCCGGCTGGCCCTGGGCTCCAGGAGGGGCTGGTCCTCATCACAAGTGCTCACTAAAGAGGGAGGAAAAGCAAGGCTGAATTCCAGGGGGTTGGCTTCTCTCCATCCCACACCTCCCCGGAGCAGCTCTGAGCCCCTCTCTGCCCACACCTTCCCTGCTCAGCTCCCATCACCCACCCTGCCATGGCTGACCCAGCGGTCCCAGTGCTCGCTGGGAGACGTGGACCCTCAGGTGCCAGCTCCAGCCAGCCCTGCCCGGCTCACCTGGCTATCCGGGACAGGATCTCCTTGATGCGCACCACCAGCTTCTCATGCTGCAGCGGGTTGCTCTCGATGGCACTGTGCAGTTTGGCCATGTAGAAGTCCAGAGTGCTCAGCGTGGGGGTTTCCCCAGTGCCTACGAAGTGGCAACCCAGTAAGTTCCCATTCAGCCCTGCCCATTGTACTTGCTGGTGACTGGGGAAGGGACCCTGAACAATAGGTGCCACCTCCTGCAGCAGAAGAGAGCCTGCACTGATACAAGCCCAGGAACAAAAGGGTTTGGTCTAACCTCTGCCTTGCGGGCACAGCTGTGATTACGGCTCAGAGGGCAGTTCCCACCCTGCCCTACCCCAGCACAGGGGTGCCAACAACCTGTCACACCCCTGGGCTCCCCAGAGAGCCCCTCAAAGTGCTCCAGGATCCCACCCCATCAGCGGATGAACCTCTATCACCACCCCATTGCCCCCATCTGTACTGCACGCGGGGCCCCCCTGCCCCCACCGACTGGAGCTGCTGCTGCAAAGCCAGGGTCTGCCTCTCCTCCTGGGCCAGCTCCTGCTCCAGCTTCTCCTTGGCACAGTTCATGCTCTCCGTGTGCTTCTGCAGGATGGCATTCTGCTCCTCAAACTCCGTGTTCATCTTCCGCAGGCGCCGCAGCTCGGCCTCCCGGGCTGCAGGGACCACGTGAGGTCAGCACACACCGACTGGAGCTGCTGCTGCAAAGCCAGGGTCTGCCTCTCCTCCTGGGCCAGCTCCTGCTCCAGCTTCTCCTTGGCACAGTTCATGCTCTCCGTGTGCTTCTGCAGGATGGCATTCTGCTCCTCAAACTCCGTGTTCATCTTCCGCAGGCGCCGCAGCTCGGCCTCCCGGGCTGCAGGGACCACGTGAGGTCAGCACAGGGGACCCCTGTGACTCTCCCCCCCATCCCAAACCCAATCCCTTCCCCAGCCACGACTCTTCCAAGAGGCTCAGCATCACCAAACCATCCCACAGCCCAGCCCCTCACCTTTGTTTTGGTCCAAGAACTCCTCCGTGAAGATGGGCACATCGAAGGTGGAGAAGGTGTCGCTGCACTCGCCAGCCTGGGGGCACGGGAGGGGATGGATCAGGCGGGGCTGAGCCCACCAAAAGGGACCCCGTCTCCTCAGGGCTGGGCAGACAGGAGGCACAGGGACAGGGCAAGGGGTGGGTGTGCCTGGGCAGGCAGGGAGGACGGGCAGAGGATGGCT